TAAAAAATAACGATATCAATTCAAACACGTGTCCACACTAAAAATAATGTTTATAGCAATCAGAAATGATTTCCTGTTAAAAATAAAATCTATTTAAAAATAACTGTGATTACGTTTCGAATATGATTCCTGAGCATGACGATAAATCACATTCGGCAGCAAGGCCTCTAATCAGGAGGGTTGGAGGTTTTGGAGAGCGTGGAACCATCTTTAATTGCTGTTGTTACCAGGTCCAACCTGACACGGGGTAGTAGCACCTGTTAGGGTCACAGCTATGGGAAAATAGTGAACCCCCCCCCAAACAAAAGCAGACCCTATGAAAGTATAAAAATACGTCTTTATAGTAAAAATACCAGCAATACATTTTTTAGATAAAAAAAAGTAACCAACAATACATATTTATAATCAAATGACCATCAGATACATTTTATCTCTAGTTGGAGGCATACGACTGCGTTCCTAATTATTTAGATTTCGGCATTAAATAAACCATAGAGGTTAATACACCGCTACAAAAAACAAGCAACTAACGTTTTAAGTACGAAAATAAAGCTAGTAGATATAGTTAGGAAAAAGTCCCAAAGTGTGATGTACTTTTCTTAAGTAGGTAATTGAGCCTTGCTCTATCATGACGGTCTCTTGTGGCCAAATTGCTAACATGAATCTTTGACTATCGGACTCATTTCCTTGAAGGGGAGACATGGGAATATAAGCCTGGTTCATGTCGAGAGGCACATTTTTACTTGCTGGGATTTCTCCATGTTAACTGGCTGGGATAGATTTAACTGTTTCAATAAAGACAAAAAAAAAATAGAAACATGAATGTCAACTCAAACACATGTGCTTACTAAAAATAACGTTTTTAGTCACGTATGTTTAAAAAAGATCCATTGAAATATTATATATATATATATATATATATATATATATATATATATATATATACGTAACTGCAAAAAATTTTCCAAATCGTGTAACACCATAGTTGGGCATCTCACAAATGTTTAATATCTAAAAAAAAAAACACTAAACTAATTGAGTTTCTTTAGTTGCATGTTTTCAGATAAGATGTTGAGCCATCTTGACATTATTTCCTGTAAGAGTCACTGACAAACCTTATGGTTTATTCAGTTTATTCAGCTAGAAAAAGAACAGGTTAAAATGGTTTTGTGTCAGTCCACTATGTCTTCCCAAATTAAAGCTTCATCAAAGAATGAGATATGGGGAAAAGAAACTTACTTTTTGTTATTTGATTTTCATTGGTTAAGCAGACTTCGTGTATATATATATGTGTGTGTGTCTGCGCGCGTGTACGTATTTCCTCATATATTAACGATGCACTGAAATTGGAAGGCGCATTTGGCTTCTAAAAGCTAAGCAAAAATTTTTATTTGAAACAAAGAAAAGTATACTGAACTGTCACGTAATACCAGTTTTATATTCCAGTGAATGCTGGACAATCTCCTCACGGTTGAAGAGACTTGAAACAACACAAATCTGGTTCTAGAGAAGAACGCTGAGAACATCATGGGCCAAACATGTGAGCAACAATAAAATTTTAGAAAAATGGAAGCAAACAGGAGACACCTACTTTAAATCAGAAAGAGACAACTGAAATCTCCAAGGCACATAATGGGGAAACAGTGTTTTGGAAAATATGATACGCACAATACGGATTGAAGAAGAAGAAAAGAGGTTCAGTAGCGGTAACAAAAAGCTAAAATTTATTAAGAGTAATAAAGGACAGGAAATTGTGGAGAACTATATTCGCCAACTTCGTGAAGGACACATATAAGAAGTGTCACTGTTACTTTGAGTGTTCTTGTTTTGACTTTCCGTTAATTCTCATTTAACTGTTAATTTTTTTTATGTGTATCATGTCTCTTTAGGACATTGGCGATCATGGCTATCCACAACTTCCTCTCCTTTGTAGCTACATAATCAAATTTTCGGTAGATTTATTTAGCTGGGTTTGTAACTTGCTCTCTCTTTGAGTATATTAAAATTAATAATTTGCGAAATAACGAAAACAGAACCATTTAATCAACTATATATCCATCTTACTTACTTGACCCCTGTGTTACTCCCTATCGCTACTAAATTGGCAAATAACTATATGGGTAATTAACATATCTTAGCATTTGTCGACTGTGACGGTAAGAAAATGTAACAGTTTATTTTTTTTTTACAGTAATTACTTGGGTAGATTATTATGGAAACTATGAAGCAATAATTATAGATATTAATACAGATATTAATAGACAGATGACATTTAGGAAATTGAAGATTTACATTTAATTAGTTTTGTGTGGATGCACTTAACTATCTCATACAAAAACCTCAAACATCTTGCCAAGCCTTCAGCTTATAAAAGATCGTATGTAAAATTAGAAAGATGCATACGATCCCATGCTGTCATCATTGATCATTACGTAGTTGGAAATGCAATACAACTCTCGTTCTTTGATTTATGAATTTTATACGGAGAAGAACTGTATTTGCATACAAAAGTTCACCGATTACAAGGCTCGGGAGAATGTTAATTTAGAACGTTACTGAATGATGTGTGTGATATTCCACATATCTCATACTCAGCAACTCGCTTGCGTCTTAGCGGCTTTATTGCCTTGTTTTGGGTGAAATAATTACAAAAATCGTGAAGGCAAGGACCGAGGGAAACATTGAACAGCCTATCTAATAGCTTGTGTAAATGGATGACAGAACAGAGAATAGAAGATATAGTAAAATGGCAAACATTATTAAGAGCTACAAAGGACAGAAAGATGTGGAGAGCCACGTCCTGAAGATAAACGACTTGTAAAATAAAACACTGCTAAAACTTGACTACCGGTAAACGCAATGCCATTCTCTCTCCTTCTTTCCTTAATAGATTTTAAATATAGTAGAGCTATATTTAATACAGGTTTTAGGAAAGTAACCTTAGTGAAGTTTCTTGCATTTAATCTATTCCTTTAAACAGGATTGTTTTCTTATATAAACCAGAATAAACAAAATTGAATAAAAAAATTCCCCCGCCACGAAAGAGATGACTAATATTGTCCCAGCTAAGCTATCGCAATTACACTATCTTCTTTAAATATTACATAATCATCCGTCTGAATCCGAAATGTACTTGAAAACCCTCGAGTCAGGTTGTGACACAAGGTCGGTTTTTAACGTGGGGACTCGAGTGAAAACACTTGGGCCGCTGGTCTAAGCTAGCTTTAGCTGGTCATAGCTTGTCTAAGACGGTCATACCACTGCTACGCAACAGATGTCACACAACAGTGGAGGAACGGAAGGGAGGAGAAAAGGTCTCTAGCACGGAACAGATACTACATCTGTAGCATCCATCCCGACGGGAAAAAAACTATACAATCGTAACTGTTCTAGCCTGCTAACCATTACACCTGGCCGAGGTGCCTAAAATAATTTTTTAAGTGCAACTTAGATGTGGCACAAGGCCGAAATCATGGGGCACCCAGTGAGGATTGAACTCACTACTCAGTTGTAATGGTTCTAGCGAGACATGCTTGCTAACCATTACACCACGTCAAAGTGCCCTCATCCGGCTGAGTTCATTCTACAAGTCGTGGAATCTCCCTTTTGTATTTCTGTATCTAATGATTTGGTACTTAAGTTTAGTTCGACTTTGTCAAATTTTTCAATCTTTGAAGTGACGAAATCTCCGTTATTTGAGTTATTTTTTTTATTATTATTATTATTCATTTGACTTTGTACCAAGGTGATATCAATTTAATGGCCTTGAAACGAGGTTATTCGTGTGTTTGGCGGGAGGCGAAACTTACTTGACTCGGTGAGTTTGAGCAATTTCGTTATGAAAACAATTTTAATCGTGAAAATTTTACTTTATTCAAAATCTTGTATTTGTTCCTTTTATGTCGGATTATCCTAATTATTGAAAGAATTGTTTATTTTCTTTATTTATGTTGCTGTACTAAACACTTGTTTAGTAAAAAAAAAAAAAAAATAATTTACCGTGTTGAATTTTTAAAAAGTGCTGTTGTAAAAACAGAACAAAAATTAACGAAGTTTATCACGTATTTTTCCGTAATCTTTATTTTATTTTGGTAACAATTTTCTATGATTATATTTTATGCGTAAAAATGAATTTGATTATAACAAGATTCCGACGGCGCGTATTTTATTACGATAATATGATATTGAGAAATCTTCCATATGAAAATAAAATACTTTTCAAGTTGGACGTTTATTGCTAAATAATAGCAAAATGTCTCTCTTTACCCAAGAGTAAAAAATGTCTCTCTTTACCCAAAAGTAAAAAATGTCTCTCTTTTTAAAGAGTAAAAATGTCTCTCTCTTTACAAACCCAGAGTAAAAATGTCTCTCTTTGCTTTAAAAGTAAAAATGTCTCTCTCTTTACTAAAAGTAAAAATGTCTCTCTCTTTACCCCAATAGAGTAAAAAAATCTCTCTCTTTACCCAAGGTAAAAATGTCTCTCTCTTTACCCAAGGTAAAAAATGTCTCTCTTTACCCAAAAAAGGTAAAAAATGTCTCTCTCTTTTAATAAAGAGTAAAAATGTCTCTCTCTTTACCCAAGGTAAAAATGTCTCTCTCTTTACCCTAGTAAAAAATGTCTCTTTTTACCCAATAGTAAAAATGTCTCTTTGGGTTTTTAGTAAAAATGTCTCTCTCTTTACCCAAGAGTAAAAATGTCTCTCTCACCCAAAGTAAAAATGTCTCTCTCTTTACCCAAGAGTAAAAATGTCTCTCTTTTACCCAAGAGTAAAAATGTCTCTCTCTTTAGTAAAAAGGTAAAAATGTCTCTCTTTACCCAAGGTAAAAATGTCTCTCTCTTACCCCAAGAGTAAAAATGTCTCTCTCTTTACCCAATAGTAAAAAATGTCTCTCTCTTTACCCAATAGTAAAAAATGTCTCTCTCTTTACCCAATAGTAAAAAATGTCTCTCTCTTTACCCAAGAGTAAAAAATGTCTCTCTCTTTACCCAAGAGTAAAAAATGTCTCTCTCTTTACCCAAGAGTAAAAAATGTCTCTCTCTTTACCCAAGAGTAAAAAATGTCTCTCTCTCTTTACCCAAGGTAAAAATGTCTCTCTCTTTACCCAAGAGTAAAAAATGTCTCTCTCTTTTTACCCAAGAGTAAAAATCTCTCTTTAGGTAAAAAATGTCTCTCTTTACCCAAGAGTAAAAATGTCTCTCTCTTTACCCAAGAGTAAAAATGTCTCTCTCTTTACCCAAGAGTAAAAATGTCTCTCTCTTTACCCAAGAGTAAAAATGTCTCTCTTTACCCAAGAGTAAAAATGTCTCTCTCTTTACCCAAGAGTAAAAATGTCTCTCTCTTTACCCAAGGTAAAAATGTCTCTCTCTTTACCCAAGAGTAAAAATGTCTCTCTCTTTACCCAATAGTAAAAATGTCTCTCTCTTTTACCCAAGAGTAAAAATGTCTCTCTCTCTCTTTACCCAAGAGTAAAAAAATGTCTCTCTCTTTACCCAATTAAAAAATGTCTCTCTCTTTACCCAAGAGTAAAAAATGTCTCTCTCTTTACCCAAGAGTAAAAAATGTCTCTATTGGAGTTGACTATGACACGAAAATATTTTTTCGACAAAAAGGAAAAAATAGGGGAGACTTTTTGAAAGACCTAGATCGTAGTCATTTAAAAATTCCACTGAAAGTTAAGTGGGTATTCTATTTTTGTACATATTTTTGAATGAAATGCTTACATTAATTCTTTAAAATATATACGTGTTTCTAAATAATTCCAATATGAAAAGATGGTGGGAAATTCTATTGTCAAGTATTTTTCCAAGAAGTATTGCTTGTTTGAATCGCCTTACACAACTAAATAACTATCACGGATTCGAAGTCACATGAATATTTTGTTCATAATCCATAAAATAAAAGCGGAAAGTATGTGTGAAATTGATGACGACTTGTATATAATATCGGATATTACCGAAATTGATTTCTCTGAATCACTTTTTACTAAAGTACTCTTACGCTTTGTTGATGCATATTTTTAAGATTTGAAATGAACACGGTTTGTACAGGTACATTTTCTTTGCTTTCTCCTCGCTAATAAATAATCGTAATTGATTCCGAGCATTAGGAATAGGTGTTAATTAGCTCATTATTGAATATTGCTCCCGAGTCCGTTAAGAATTTCCAATTTTAAGCTAGTAATAAGTCGGGGATAAGCTACTTAGTTAAAAAGAAAAGCAGCGTGTTAGTTCTCTAAGGAAAACTTTGACACACCTGAATATATTTTAATGGATCAGCTTTGATACGCTTGACAGAATAGATTCGTTGTCGATAGAACCTTTTAAAATTATGCCGCACCATACAGTTTTGATCGTTTATATTTCATGGCCGGTAATAAATTCACAAAAGTCGAAATTTTAGCTAAAAAAACCTTATTTTGTGAGTGACAACTTGATTAGATTTGAACCCATGTAGCAGATTTGTAAGCGGTGATGGTTACTTTCCATGGCAGGAAGCGTCAAAATAATTTTTCACTAAAAATTCAAGTATTGTTGATCCACAACAGCACTGGGATCAAAGATTTCCACTTGTCACGCTGTTTTAATACTAGATTAATGTTTAAAAAAAAGCTTATTAAACCTTTAAAGAAAGACACAGAAACGGTATTAACATTATCCTGTTTCATATTTTTTTTTCTGTGACTTTTACCTGGATTCGTAAATTTAAAGCTAGGCTGAGGAACTTTTGAAATCGGAAGTAATGAAATAGAAATTGTGAATTCGAATCTCTGGACCTTAATTATTAACGAAATATATTTGTGTCAACTACAGACTTTTCGTGCGTCTCATGGCATTGAGCACAGTTTAACATCGTCCTGGGTATGACGATAAACTACACCCGCGTCTTGGGTAAAACGATAAACTAGGTCCAACAACAACGCCTCTGATCAGGTTTTGAGAAGCGTGGAACCACCTCTTAATTGCAGGTGTTTCTAGGTCCACCCTGACCCCGGATGGTAGCACCTGTTAGGGTCCCAACTATGGGCAAATAGTTAACACCCCGAACTGGTGTGAAAACACTATGAAAATGTAAAAATAGGTTTTATTACCAGCAATACATTTTAAGGGGAAAATATTACCAGCAATACCTTTTTTGTAAATAATTATTACCATTAATGCATCATTACCGGCAATAAAGGTTTGATGAAAATATTACCAGAAATAAAAATCTTGTGGGCATTAGATAACCCATTGAGGGTGATATGCCGTAAAACAAAGCAAACCAAATATTCACTCTTTAAAAGAAAACCTCTGCGCTATTACACGTTCTCTCACCCCTAAAAGAACACAGCAAGACAAATTTATAAAATGAAAAACATATTTTTAAAACCGTTTTTTTTTCAGTTTAACTTCATAAAATTAATTTAAAATAAAAGTTGAACTGTTGCAATTATTAATTACATTTAATTTACAAACACTAGCAATGATTTTAAAAAGCTTCTGTAAAAGCTTCTGCTGTCAAAAGTTTGTAAAAAAAAAGTCAGAAAGATAATGAAATGTATTATTTAAAATTAAAATACACAAATTATGAAATATATTAACAAAAAGGAGAAATCTAAACGTATTTTTTTTTTAACTAAAAAAAACAACTGAAGACAAAAAAACATTGTGGTTGCAATTGTCATGGGGGATGCGAAAGTGTGATAGCGCCTAAAACCTCTATCGTTTTTCTTTGTAATTCAACTGTTTGTCATATCAATATAATAACCAAGGAGAACTTTTGAATTATAGGTTCTTTTTGATTACACTTGACAAAGATTTTGACGTTGACTCGTATCTTTCCTATTACGATCCTGAAACTCTTATTGACCATTCATTTTCTTTAGTTTTGTTCTCTCGTTTTTGTTTCATCTGCACTGGATTGAAATATGACCAAGGAATTGAAGCTTACATACCGAATGCGGTTTGTATTGCCTACTTTAATATTTTACCACAAATAATTCTATTTCTATTTTCGGGCTCTTCATTCTAAAGTTTGTCCTGGGTAAACTATAAACTACACTCGGCAGTAAGGTCTCTGGTCGGGAGGTTTTTAGGAGAATGTAACCACCACTTAAGTACCTCCACGAGATCGCTAAAAAAAGAGCATAGCATGATGAAAAAGACGCCAAACTTGACGAAAACAAAATTTTATCGTCTAAATGTTTGTTATTATTAAGAGGAAAGGTCAAAGTATTTCTGGGGTATTTTTTTCCATTTTTTAATCGTTCCTAGCACGTCCAAAATTTTCGTTAAAAATGTAGTTTTTTTTTTTTTTGAGTCAGCAAAATTGACCATTTTTTTCCATTTTAAAAGAAACTGGAAATCTGACTTTGAAATTTTTTTAAATATCAATTATCATTTTTTCAAAACTTATTTTAAGAAAATCAGAAATTATAATGTTTATTTAAAATATTTTGAACCAAACTTAACTTAGTTTTTTGTGCCAAAAAAGATGTAATTTGAAAATAAAACAAAGCTGGTCATAAACTTTCGCGTCTCTTGACATGTGATGAATGATATATTTACGAATTCCATGAGGCTAATTTGTTCTACGGAAGGAGAAAAGTGAAATAATTTACATTTACGTGAACAAATTATTTACCCCGTTATTTTTAACGAAAACTTTCAGCGGTCTCATTTTTTTTTTTTTACTTAGCTTTCACCTTTACGTTTATGATGCTTTATGGGAAATATATTGTAAAGAAATTAAAATAAAACTTAAGAGTGACATTAAATTTCATATTTCTTAAGAAAGGTATTTAATTAATTTATAGGTACCTTTCTTATGAGATTTTATCAGAATTGTACATAAAATACTATAATTGTATGTACATTTATTACATTCTACTGTTATTTGTATTTGCATTCATTTTATTATTAATTTTGATATTTCATTTATGGAAAAATGTCGTAACTGAGATTAATATAAAAATAAGATCATATAAATTTCATAAGATGATACTGATATTTGTAGGTACCCTTCTCAGTTGAAATTGAAAAATCAAATTAACTTCTCCACACGTGTTTCGCAAAACAAAAAGGCCTTAACAGCGGAGAACAATGCTTAACTCAAATAACGCAACTTAATTATATTCTGGTTGGTCTTCCGTATTTTATAATTACAGCTCGATTATAAGCACAAAATTACATTTCTTAATTACTGGGGATCTTCTGATTAGTCAAAATGATACAATTTACAACGTGCTAAAAAAAAAGATCTATCTCATAAGGACACTTATGAAAGCCGATGCGGCTTTTAACTAATTTTATAATATTTTAACAACTTAAATGTAAAATCTATTATAATTAATGAAATAACAAATAATTGTATTAAAAATTCATTTTCATCGAAAAATTTTTTTGCTTTCAGAAAATATTGTCCATATTCATAAAAAACAACGAAAAGCAAATAAAAGCATTTGAAATTAAATAATATCTTTGTTTTATTGAGTTTTGTATGTTACAATTCAGAGCTGATTTTCAGGTACTGCGTATCCAATTAAAAAAAAAAAAACATGATTTGCATTCCTCAAAGCCCTGTGCTTTTAATTATTGTAATCACTAAAACCGATGCGATCGAATTTCTAGCGTTTTCATAAAATTAGTTATGGGGGGGTAATAAATATTTTGAAAAAATATTTCTACCATGACTTTCAAAAAAACATATTTATAATAATTTCGATCATCTGTGAATAGTTCCTGAAAGTTTCATTAACATCCGATAATTATTTCTATTTTTGCACGATTTTTCAAATTAATATGTGTCATACCAAAAAACGTGCTAAAAATTGTCTGTTATTTACTAGTTCCGCTGATACAAATAGAAAAAAGGTTTTTTAATCAAAATTTAGAATGTTCTAAAAGGAAAATTTTTTAAAATAATTAAAAAAACTTTGGTCTTTTCCTCTTAATAATAACATAAGCATTTAGACAATAATATTTAGTTTTTTCGTCAAGGTTGGCGTCTTTTTCATCAAGCTATGCTCTTTTTTTAGCGATTTCGTGGAGGTACCTAACTTAACTGTTGTTCCCAGGTCCACCTTGACCCGGGGTGGTAGCACCTTTTAGGGTCCTAGCTATGGTCAAATATGGAAGCCCTAAACTAGGGATCAAATCATGAAGTTATAAAAATACATTAGAAAGAAATCCCAGCAATACATTTTCACAGTAAAAGAATAAAAAAATTACATTATTGGAAAAAAAAATACCAAAGCTGACAAAATTTCGGCGTTAAATGACTCATAAAGAGTTAAACATTGAAGCCATCAATCTAAAATAAACAAACTTTGTAGATTAAAAATTATTAAATGACTTGGTTAAATATCAATTTTCCTTAATGACGTAAATATTTTTCTCAAAGTAAATGACGCTGAACAGGAAAAATTTGTTGCATGGTCAGTGCAAATTAAAAAATGATCTTTATTTTTATTGACGTGAATTTTAATGTTATATCTCTATATGAGATCATGTCTCTAAAATCTTTTTGTAATTTGCCAATATTTTTGGGGAAATATAGTTGAGAAGATTCCAGGTTAAATTCCTTCAGGTTTGGTATTCAGAATAGTCGTAATAGTCGTTCTAGTTTAACTGTTGGAGATTCCTGTGAGGAGAGAAGATTCTTTAAGAATATTTAGGTGGAAGTGGAAACAAAAGACTAGGCGGGGATTTAGTCACGGCGTTCCGATTCCATTTTCAGCGCCGTTAACCATTATGCCATCGGCATATCCTCTTCCCGCGTATCGAGTTGAAATGCTTTTGCTGCCGAAATCCCAGCGTTCGTTTGATCTTTCATAAGACTTCCCTGTCTTCTTGTATACGTAATTATTAGATTCATATTTTCAGATAACATAAACAGATTTTACTCATATCATCGAACGAAAGCTTCAGGCATTTTTTCCTTACAAAAATTCATTAATTTTTTTTTTCACCCCTTTATGTATTCCATTATAAAATAACGATTACCGTTCTGATATAATTAATTTAAAAAAAATATTTATTTTGAACGTGTTCAACTGCTGACCGCAGACTAAGTGAAACAAAACCTTCTAAAAATAACTTTCCTTTCGAAAAGATCCCATGGGGAAGAAAATCCTATTCATCGCAATAATCCTTGGCTTTGTCGAATTTTCCGACAGTTTTGAGGCAGCAAAATCTCCGCTAGTCTTATTTGCTCAGCAAAGTTATTTCAGTTTCAATGCGTCATTCAAGCGATACACTTGCATCAGATAATATTCGTCCAGGTTCCTGTAATTTCTAATAAACTATTCCCTTCCAATTTTCTTGCGCAGAATCTGTTTACCTTGGATTCTGTTTACCTTGATATGCTGAAGGTGGTCTTCTGTGTAGCTACAACTTTATTAATTTTCGGTCCACATTAATCTATTTTTAATCATTAGGGTAACTATTGTAAAACTTGCTTTCGACTATATTATTACAAAAGACTGCTTTCAGACTCAGAAGGAAAGTGTGTCGACCGAACTCTGGATCATCGAGTCAATGTGTACAATCTTTTCCTTAGCTGCGTAGCATGTGCTTCGCGAGGACTACATACAGGTTTGAATTCAGTTTGTCGTCTTCTAGGCCGGTTGCCACGCAAGGATATAGAACCTAGTCTCTTACTATTTACCCATAGCTGGGGAGATAAGTGTTGGATTCTTTAGCCTTGGCAGTCAATCGGTCTAGGAGAAAAACCATTGAATTCAAAATTATTAGCGCGTAAGTGAATGTAATGAACTATACTAGAATATTCTACCGCGCTTTCAAAGGAAGGAAAAAAACTGACGGATGGTAGTTTACCTAAGTTAGAGTAAAATTCTTTTTATTTTCTGGTTTCTGAATTATTAGTAAGTTATAAAAACGATCTCTTCGACTTAATATATTAATGAGCAATTAGATAAATGAACCCAAGACATTTCGAAGATTACACTGTTTTATATGAAAGTACTGCGATCCACCACCCCCAGTTCTTGTTCATACGTCTGTTTTTATTCAAATAAGCTTTCTTAAAATAAACTTAGCATAAATGAAATTGTACAATTATGCTTTAAATCTGACGACCAAATTTGGTTAATACACCTTACTGTTTTGATTCTGTTTATTCTCACATCGTAATCCGTGTACTTCTGATGTCAGATTGAACTAACATTTTTTATATGCTGCCGCCATTTTTGTTCAAGTCGGTATTTTCTTGATTTCAGACGAAATCTAGGAAATTTTCCAACGTATTTTAGCGTAATTTTCACTTCTCAAAATTGCTTTGTAATTATAGTTTAGAGCTGTTAAAAAAAAAAAAAAGTTAACTGACGTAAGGAAAATATGACTTGAGTATTATGAGGGTCGGGAAAATGATATATACAAAAGTTTGATTCACCAGCCTAAGATTATGACATGGATAGTTAAGTATCACTTGATGCAAGAAAATAATTGAAATCGATTCGGGCCAGCCGAAAAGGAAGGAAGGATAAAGCAGATGGCTATGAAAAGCAAGTGGGATTTTGCTTTCCGACTAAAAGCTATGAACAGGCATAAAATATTACCTCTGATTTATTTTCACGTCTGATAAACTCTAGTAAATCTTAACATCATCTCTTCGGAATCATACGTATGTAGTATATAATTTTACGCTGTCTGCATATATAGATGAATGATGGTCAGTTAGGAGCAGCGCCCTGGTTATATTGAAGATAATCTTCATTAATAAATCAAATGGTACGTATATAGACGAATAAGAAACTGTTTTACTATAAATAACTATCTTCCAGAATCATTGTTGGCTTCATCAACAACATCTGTGATTGAAATTGTTTGGTTAGTTTTCGGTTTAACTGTTTGTGAGGGAAGAGGCTCAAAATAAAAATTTCGGGCAGAAAAAGTACAGATTTGCTAAAATGCTTTTTCGAGCATGAGGTTAACATTAACAAATAATATCAAGAAATTCGAAGGCCGGAGTTGAGTATGGCTCTCTGTCTTCCTTCCTACCCCCCTCTCTCTGTCTCCCTTCCTTTCTCCCTCTCTCTGTCTCCCTTCCTTTCTCCCCTCTCTCTGTCTCCCTTCCTTTCCCCCTGTCTCCCTTCCTTTCCCCCCTGTCTCCCTTCCTTTCCCCCCCTGTCTCCTTCCTTTGCCCTGTCTCCTTCCTTTTCCCCTCTCTCTCCCTTCCTTCCCCCCTCTCTCCCTTCCTTCCCCTCTCTCCCTGTCTCCCTCCTTTTCCCCTCTCTCCCTTTCTCCCCCCTCTGTCTCCCCTTCTCCGTCTCCCTTTCTCCCCCCTCTGTCTGTATCTCCTCTGTATATCCATTCCCCCAGATTGTAAGAGTAATTCTTTATGCGAGTGAATACTGCATTAACAATTTTTCAGAACGTTTTTCAGATACAAATTTACTATTTAGCTCATAGGAAAGGGAGTTGGATTCATCCTATCGCAAGGGTATTTGCACATAGTTGAATGCAACGACTAACACGCGAAACGCATTTTTTAAACGATTTAAACCATAAAAGTCTTCGAAAATGACTAGTGGTGGTAGTCGAAGGTACTCAGATATCAGAAGTAATAAAAATTTTGGATTAAAAAGAAATTAATTCTTTAGAAATTGCTTTGTTTACGTTTTGCATACGAAACTGAGCAGATAGTAAATTATTCCTATAGTTTCAGATACATGAGAAAATGCTTATTTAATAAATTTAAAAAATCGCCTTTGATAATGGCTAAAAGAATAGCCCTATATGCAGAACTTTCGGACAGTTTTTTTTTTATTATATACACACTTTATGTCCACAACCGAAGACTCTTATACAAACCCAAGAAAAATTAAATAAAGTTTAATCTCAGTGACTTGTCAGTCGTATTTAATGTAATTTATATAACAATGCTTGTCAGTAATATCTATTTTTATAACCACAAGAAAAAAAACTTTCGTAATACACTTATTCTAAGTTTATGCTGAGAATATAAATACAGCAAGATGAAAAAAAAATCTTAGTCAATATTCAATGGAAAAGATCCCTTGGAAGCGATTCCCCCCCCCCGCTGATATTGAAAGATATTTGTGCAAACAAACACGGGTTGCCATTAGCTTCATATATTAGGTAATTCACTTTCAAATAACATATATATACCCCCAAGTATAGAATTGGTGTATACGAAATAAATTCCTATAACCATCAAATACTATTCTTAAAAGAGTGCTCAATTCATAGAGCAAATATAATTATTTATTCGAAAATAACAAAAATGTTATAAAATCACTTCAAAAATAGCTATTTTGTTTCAACACTTATGGTGCCTTATCAAATGATGGTGTTAAGACACCAGAAAGGTTGAAACAAAATGGCTATTTTTGTAGTGATTTTATATCATTTTTGTTAGAATTTTCGAATAACTAGTTATATTTGCTCTACTCTGAATTGAGCACTCTCTTAAGAATAGTAATTGTTGGTTATCGGAATTTATACTTGTGGGGAGATGTGTTTGTGTGTGTGTATATATATATATATATATATATCCAAGTATATAATTGGTGTGTACAGAATGAATTCCAATAACCAACAATTACTATTCTTAAAGGAGTGCTCAATACAGAGTAAGTAGATATAATTATTTATTTAAAACTTATAACATAAGAATGTAAAATATTTTTGTAGTGATTTTATAACATATTTATGTTAGAATTTTTAAATAAATAATTCTCTCTCTCTCTATATATATATATATATATATATATATATATATATATATATATATATATATATATATATATATATATATACACGTTTCATTAAATAATATAGACAAGTGTTGTCTATTTTATGTAAAAATTTTTCGTATCTTCTGATAAGTTTGGTAACATTATCATTAACCGAAAAAGAAATTCACAATATTTATCCATTATTTTTAATAAAATCTAAGCTTTCGGCTTACTCAAGCCATTATCAAAGATGTAAATGAAACATATCAAACAATATACGGACACGACAGTGATGATATAGTCTGTCATTGTTTTGTTTACATAGTGGATCGCTAAGCAACGATGAACACGCGCATGCATATATATATATATATATATATATATATATATATATAAAACGAAAATACATTAACTGAGGCAAACCTCGTGCTTTCATGATATTGACTGTTCTCAAAACCAAGATTGAGAATACAATAAGATTATGACGCCCGCTTTTATCAATGTGTTAATTACTCAATAGCCTCTGTACAGAGGAAGTTTTTCTTGCGCTCGCTGAATGTTCATATATGATTTGGTCTGCTGATGTTATTACTGAAGAGCTAAACCATAATCTGTTAAGGAATAGGAAAGATAAGAATAGAAAAAATAAGGAAAAGTTTTTAGCAGAAATGTTGCCGATGTTTTAATAATGTATTGAAAGCTGACTCGTAATCTCCAGTAAGCAATATCCTGCTATAAATATTTGATGTTCTACATGACCCTGAGCTTAAACGGAACAGTCACATTGAAGTTCCAATACTGATGAGATGTTGTAATTTGCCCATAAAATCTTTCTAGGATTAGCATTTCAAACTGCATTTACTTAAAAAGATCACATTAAGGTGAATGGTCTTCATTAAGCATGATTCGCTGTCTCTTAGAGCGTGTCTCGATTTGCAGCTTCATTTGGAGTTCTTCTATGCAGCAATAGAAGTTTCCAGGCTTATATAGAATTTCCATGACCGAGGAAGAAACCAAAATGCATCCACATTTGTAGAAAAGCGAAAATGTTTATATTAGCTATAAGTATTCACCTTCACAATGATGCCGATTGCATTCATTATTGAGTAAATGTATTTTCTTTTTTCATCACCCCCCCACACACACCGGCCAAATATCACCAAAATGAGATACGAAGAGAGATGAATAATCGGAAATTACGAAGATAAATCTGACATCGATATGAACAGACTAAAATAGATAAACGAATTCAAGTTAGGTTTGCACTAATGCCTTCCATGTAAATTTACTTTTGGGAGAGCTCTGTCGCAATGTCAGTCATAATTGCAAATTCTTTGTCGTTGATGTGCAAAGATAGTTTCCAGTAAGCATATGCACAACTGACACCTCCATTATCTTACCTATGCCATGGGATTGAAATAACTACTTTATCAAATGTCACTCCACTGTGTGCGTGTGCGTGCAAAATTGTCTAGTGTAGTCATTATGCGTATGTATGATATATATGTAGGCAGAAAGAATTCATTCAAAAGAGTTTTTACTTTCAACTAAAAATTTTATTTTGTTAATTAGATTTTTTTTTCCATTTTTGAATAAAATGTTGCACTTAGAAATACAAATTCAGTATTGTAGAGTGTAACAAGTTGATTTTGTTCAGTGCATTTCACTCCCACCCTCAAATGGTAATTTTCACTGTCGAATGCCGTACTAACGTCGATGATCAGGACGGATGAAACCTGGACTGAATATCTACTGACGAAATCCGTGATGTTTCATGAGGAGCATTATACTTGGTAAAGTGGTTGGCTCATGACGATATTGGGATTAAAATGACATTTCAAACGCTTTTGAAAGTTAACGTGTAACCACATATTTGTTATGCATGGTATGCGGCCTCATATTTGGTGGAAGAAACTAATGTAAATCTCAAAGTAATTTGCGCGGTATTTTTTCGCCCGACATTCCCTTGGTGGATAAAAATATACCGCCATGCATGAATATGCGGAATAACTATTTAGATCGTTCGAATTGTCGTACTCATCTTAATTGCCATATTCACAACGTTTCGGCCGTTTTACGCACCGACCTTCATCAGATGATATACGTTGGAATTTAGAACCGAACCCTTTTTAGTCCAAACTGTTCAAAATTCCATGTCATGCATTTCTGGGATATCTCTGTATCAGTTAATTCCCTATAGTAATTCAGCTCTTCAACGTTTTGTTCTCTTTCTATCAAGTCACATTTTGGATTACTCAACCAACGCTTTTATCCACTGAGCCAGATGCCCTTGGGGGACATGAGTGAATTTTGGGGATTCATAAACCTCATGTCTCAGTGAATTTTTTTACCAGATCTCGTATTACATTTTTTTTCTTTTTGCTAGCTCTCTATATACACAATAACATCCATTATTGTTTCATACGAAGATATACAACCGCTCTCTATATTAATGGATGAAGATTTTCAAAACTAGTTTCAAAACATTGATCGTATTTCATACTAATGTGTCTATTATATTGTCTTTCTTAAAATAACGTTGTTTTCAATTCTGTTTTTAAAAATAATTATCGGTAAAATGTTCATGCGTTCTGTAATTCCACAGTCGGCTCGAGCAATAGAGCCAAGTGGATTCTTTCAGCCGCTCCCCGAATGATTTTATTCTGCCCAATTACTGAACTGTATCAATGTTTGTTATATTTAAGAGGAAGATTAACATAAACCTTTCCCATTTCTAATTAAGAGTTTGGGTTGAGAAAAAAAAATAAAAGCCCCGAAAAGATGTTAAATATTGCATTTAATGAATTTAAAGCTACTTTTTAGAATAATTTTCCTTGTTCAAAAATGGATTTGAGCACCTCCAAAAAACCTGGCAAGATATCTAGACTATAATTTCCTACATAAATGCAATCTAATTTTTACCGAAAACTGATATTTAGTGCCGAATCCATAAGAAAAACCCAGTTGGCAAACTCTCAGTGAAGAAAACTCCAGTCTTTTATCCGAAAAGTGGACAAAATTCCAATTATTTATTATGATTAAGATTAGGTGTAAAGGTCATTCGCCTCTTGTGCTATATTAAGATAACATGCATATATTTTTGAGTATTCAAAATTAAGAATACATGAATGGAGTGAGCATGAAAATATATATATATATATATATATATATATATATATATATATATATATATATATATATATATATATATATAACTACTTCGATTTGATTTTGGAGTGTGTATATATATATATATATATATATATATATATATATATATATCGAGAGAGAGGCACGGTGGATAGTGACTCGGATTGAAGAACTGGAGAGAAGAGTTTGAATTCCAGTCAAATCAATTACATTCACTTACGTACTTTGGAAATGTATTAATCCTCTTCTTCTCCCTCCAGCTATATGGGTAAATAGCAGGGCAGACTGGGTTCTAAAGCCTTGGATAGCAACTGGTCTAGGAGAAGGTCAACAAGGTCCCCAAACGACTCTCCGCAAGGTTTTGATATCAATCAAAACCTTGCGAATCATTAAATTTCTGCACCTCACTAATACGCCAGGTCTCTGTATTCGACCCTTCAAAAAGTGTAGTTGGTTCTGCACCAAACCTTCACTACTA